GTGAGTGGCTCGTGTCCAATTGAGCAGTGTCCAACTGGGTGCCACCCTTTATAGGTTCGTCAAGACGGAAGATCAAAGAAATTTCATCGAATGCTCCGTCCAGTGCTATATGTCGATGATTGAGTTCGCCGAACGCAGCCATTGGGAGTATGCAGTGGCTGCGTTTAGCAAACTCTACAGTTGAGTGAGCGCTCGCTGTTATTGGTGTATTCTTTTAGATCATCCAATCAGCATTTTAGATCTGAAAGAATACATCAATAGCGCGCTTTTCACTAAGTAAAGGTATCATCTAGCGTCGAGCATCTATGCAAAAACTTATTGCACACGATTCTGAAATTTCTGATTCCAGTTTCTTTAAGCAAAACAGTAAATTAAGAGACGTTATGTTCTAATATACACTACTATCCTGACGGGAAGGCTCCGATTGCACACATTACATGTTGCACACATGCGTCGCTATATATAATTGGCCAATTTAAAAATAAATTATTCCCATTGCTAAAGCAGTAAAAAATTACTAGGCACCAACTGATATAAGTGGTGTGTGCAATCGGGATTGTAGGCAAACGGGATCATTCCGTAATCTAATTCAAAGCGTTTCAGTGAAATTATTCAATATATCTCTGCTCATGCTCTGACGCTCGATGCTTGACGTTCCTAGGCTGGGTTCGGGGAGACGCTATTAGAGCTATTTGTGTCTCCATCGTCCATTAAATGTGAAACAAGGATAGTAAAACACAAATAGAGTTGATAGCGCGCTTCCCGAACGCAACTCTAGAGTCCCGTATAGGGACTCTAGATGCTCCCATGTAAAAGCACCTTATCGTGAGTTTAGCGTTCACCAAAGTGCACACGGTACTGCCAAAACTCCCTATTCCTGTATGCTGTGTACAATAATGTCGTGTGCGCAATTCGCCGTGTGCAATACGTTGTGTACAAACACGTCCTGTGCGCAATAGTGTCGTGTGTGCAATATGGTAATGTGTGCAATACGTCATGTGTGCAATATTGTCGTGTGTGCAATACGCCGTGGACAATAATGTCCTGTGTGCAAAACGTCGTGTGCAATAACATCATGTGTGCAATACGCCGTGGACAATAATGTCCTGTGTGCAAAACGTCGTGTGCAATAATGTCATGTGTGCAATATGGTAATGTGTGCAATACGTCGTGTGTGCAATATTGTCGTGTGTGCAATACACCGTGGACAATAATGTCCTGTGTGCAAAACGTCGTGTGCAATAATGTAATGTGTGCAATACGCCGTGGACAATAGTGTCCTGTGTGCAAAACATCGTGTGCAATACGCCGTGGACAATAATGTCCTGTGTGCAAAACGTCGTGTGCAATAATGTCATGTGTGCAATATGTCATGTGTGCAATATGTCATGTGTGCAATATTGTCGTGTGTGCAATATTGTCGCGTGTGCAATACGCCGTGGACAATAATGTCCTGTGTGCAAAACGTCGTGTGCAATAATGTCCTGTGTGCAATATTGTCGCGTGTGCAATACGCCGTGGACAATAATGTCCTGTGTGCCAAACGTCGTGTGCAATAACATCGTGTGTGCAATACGCCGTGGACAATAATGTCCTGTGTGCAAAACGTCGTGTGCAATAATGTCATGTGTGCAATATGGTAATGTGTGCAATACGTCGTGTGTGCAATATTGTCGTGTGTGCAATACACCGTGGACAATAATGTCCTGTGTGCAAAACGTCGTGTGCAATAATGTCATGTGTGCAATATGTCATGTGTGCAATATTGTCGTGTGTGCAATACGCCGTGGACAATAATGTCCTGTGTGCAAAACGTCGTGTGCAATAATGTAATGTGTGGAATACGCCGTGGACAATAGTGTTCTGTGTGCAAAACGTCGTGTGCAATAACATCATGTGTGCAATACGCCGTGGACAATAATGACCTGTGTGCAAAACGTCGTGTGCAATAATGTCATGTGTGCAATATGTCATGTGTGCAATATTGTCGTGTGTGCAATACGCCGTGGACAGTAATGTCCTGTGTGCAAAACGTCGTGTGCAATAATGTCGTGTGTGCAATACGCCGTGGGCAATAATGTCCTGTGTGCAAAACGTCGTGTGCAATAGTGTCATGTGTGCAATACGCCGTGGACAATAATGTCCTGTGTGCAATATTGTCGCGTGTGCAATACGCCGTGGAGAATAATGTCCTGTGTGCCAAACGTCGTGTGCAATAATGTCATGTGTGCAATAATGTCATGTGTGCGATACGCCGTGTACAATAATGTCCTGTGTGCAAAACGTCGTGTGCAATAATGACGTGTGTGCAATACACTGTGGACAATAATGTCCCGTGTGCAATACGCCGTGTGCAATACGTTGTGTACAATAACGTCCTGTGCGCAATATTGTCGTGTGTGCAATATTGTCGTGTGTGCAAAACGTCGTGTGCAATAATGTCATTTGTGCAATACGCTGTGTACAATAATGTCCTGTGTGCAATACGCTGTGTGCAATATTGCTGTGTGCAAACGAAGCTGTAGGCAATCGGGATCGTAGGCAAACGGGATCCTCCCAATTTTTTCGTTCACAGCTATTCTATGTTACACATTGCTTACTATGAAACTTGAATTAAGAAAAAATTTAAATAAATAAATAAATGGGATAAATAAATAAATAAACAGAAATAAATAAATTTGAATTAAATTAATAAAAACATGAAAGGCGCGCTCGTAGCGCGCGCTGCGTGCTAGTCCATAAGGAAAAAAGGCATGAAACGCTCGAAGTTGGCCGTATGTCGCGATCTCATTGTTGACGCTTTATTCCTTCTGTCATTGGTCCTCAGTACATCGCAAATCGCATCGATGTGAGACGCATTTTGTGACGTTCAATAAAATTTAAATTTATACCGCTTAAAGCTTAAAGTATAAATAACGCTTTTTTCAATTAACCGTTTTAATGAATCATCACACGTGTAATAGGATATTATATTGACCGTGTAGAATCACTTTGAAGGATGATGGTGAATGAACAATTGTTGTTTCACAGAAAATGTAAAATAATAAATAGTATAAATAATAAATAGTAAAATAATAATAGTATAAATAATAATAGTATAAATAATAATAGTATAAATAATAATAGTATAAATAATAAGTAGTAAAATAATAAATAGCGATAAGGAATTGAAACCTGTAGGAAAACAGGTGTGACAAGATATTTTAATTTCAGTTATTATTCATTTTTCATGAAAAGGAAAGATATGTTTTTTATAAAAAGAAAAGGATTGAACAGAAAGGAAAAGGTAAGGAAATAGTAAAGCAAATGGTTCAAAAAGATGCAAAAAGAAGGATGATGAGAAATTTTTCCTTCTTCTAATTAATAAAAGAATAAAAGATAAAAAGAAGAGAAAATAGCAATTAATATGGTGTACTAGAGAGATACGAAATCAGATATTGGTGAGAAAGGAGAGACGAGAGATCAAAAATGAGAAAGAAGCGAGAAAGGCAAAGAAAAAACGAGACACAGGTGAGAGAAGCAATTTAACTACAGAATTTAATCTTAAAACTAG